AGGCCAAGTGCCGAGGGGGCATGGCAATAAACGGAATGTGCTTGAGGCACATGAAAACATTATCGGATATCGAAATGCGATATTAGAGAGAGGGAGAGCGTGAGGGAGAGGGAAAGGTAGAGGGGAGACCGTTTAGAGCACGGCTAAAATTGGTTATGGCTTTTGTTTGTTGCCGTACAACGCGGCGTATGCGTTATTGTTAGTATACAGTATATGTATATATATATATATATAAATATCTATGAGTTTGGCCAGCCTGGCAATTTTTACGAGCCCCAACATTTTTTACGAGCACTTATTTCCGCCCCAGAAATTAGAGAAACTTCTATGCGAAACATTTGATGCCCCGAAAAGGCCAACAGCCGACACAACAACAATGCCTAATAACAACTTCTTGGCCAAATGCGAAAGAGTTCAGTTTTGGTTTGCCCTTTGGCATTGCCTGGGGCTCGTTAAGGGTCTAGATATTCTGCTTGAAATTTATGATGTGTGTAACAACAATTGGGCATTGTTTACCATTGTTATTGTTGTTGTTGTTGTTGTTCGGCATTTTCAGTCAAGTGTCTCATGCAAATTTTGCTTATTTTATATAATGCGATTTTTACGAGTACCAATTTTGATGGCCAGCCTCCCGTTGCGCTAAAGAGCTTTCATTTGCATTTAACAGTGGCTCAATTTTTCGATCAATTCGTCTTTATTGGAATATATTTAGTTGCCTAGCACTGTGCCACAAGCTAGTTGCAAAAATATTTATAATATTCCCAATTTCACATTCGCTTAAATTGAAATATATTTTAATCATATTTTTTGTAGTAGCTCATTTAAATTTAAGATTATTTAAATTGCTGTGGCGATAGTAATATATTTTTGGAATGCTCTGAATTTTACTTTGAGCCTAATTCCATGATAAAATCACAATTAAAAATATATGTAAAAATTATGATACTTTTTGGAGCATTGGCCGGGTTAAAATTTCCTTTAATTATTTTTAAGTAGATTGCAGACGCGGTTTATAATTCATTGAATTATTTTTGAGTATATTAATAGTTTTCTGGCAGCAATAAATTTTTTTATCACACATGTTCTGAATTCACAAAGGAAAAAACGTTTGAAAGTCTTGCACATAATTTTTTTTAAATACCTCTTACATTGAATATTGTGTAGCTCATATTTCTCTGACAGCAAAAAGCAAACAAATATTGCATGCATATATGCTTCTAGCAATAATTTATGTATATTTATTGTCGTTTACCCTGTGCTTGCTGACAGGTGAATCAGAACTGAAGAATTGCCTGCCCGACCGCCGCAGGGTTTCCAGACCCAGACGCAGACACAATCGCTCAATGGCCACAACTTAAAAATTCCAAATTTCTACCATTTGTCATGTTTGTTTCTACCACCCCCCTCAATCTCACCGCCCACTCATATTCATTGTTGTTGCTATGCCCGAGGGCAGACAGAGGCCGCATGGGTGAAGTCTGCTGTGAAACGTGGCACGTGCAGGCGGCGTTAAGCCTAAAAGTATGCATAAATAAAAAAAAAGGGCACGTAGAGCAGATAACAAAGTCAAAACAAGCCATTGATAGCTATATTTGTGGCTGGAAGTTGCAGATAAACAGTTACAAAGAGTCTTCTTGTTATTTAGCCAAATAATTTTGGCTAGCCAACGATTTGACTTGCGACTCAGACGGGACTTTGGCAAACAGAAGAGAGAAATGATTCAACCCTGTTGTGTCCAGGTATCGAACCTTTGAGCATCGCAATGAAACCGTATTTGATACCCGTTCTAAAATACTTGGCAAAACCAACAATTGCAAAGGCAAACAAAGTCGCATTGTGAGCAAATGCAAACGTAGGGAAGACCCACGGCAAGGACACAATCGGAACGCAATCAAATGAAGAGGGAACGAGAGAGAGAGAGAGGGGCATAGGGTGAAAGCGAGAAATGAGAAAATAGCTAACAAATGCAGTCAAAGCATGGCAAAGAAAAATAGTACAAAAAACGAAAGCGAACAAAAAAAAAAAACACTTTAAAGTGGTATACTTTTCTCAAGCTCTCAATATGCAACAATACAAATTAAATTAAATAAAATAGCTAATAAATAAACTCAATTAATTTAATTTAATCAAGTCAAATGTGGAAATATTAATAAAACCCTTTTAATCTAAAGACTCTCAATACTTTGTCGAAAATAAGCTGATATCCACTCGTAATGCTTTTATATTTATAGCTATTTCCTCAGATCGTTTCTTTATCAAATTTCAGTTAATTTGCAAAGATAAAATGCTGTCAATAATTCTTGGCTATCTGCCGCTCGAATTTCATGGCATCCACTGAAGCATTTAACAACTGTTTATAACTTGCTTATGGGAAAGGGCCAACAGCTTACGTGCTTTTCGATCCGGCTGCTACAAAATTGGCGGACCGCAAGCTGTTGCCACGCCTCCGCCTCCGCCTCCACCTGTTACCCCCTCAGCGTCAGCACACACAATGCACAACTTTTTGTTGCTTTTGGGGGAATATATGTATCAATATTTGTAAGCTTCGGTTAGTCCGACAACTGTTGTAATTTACATGCAGCCACCGACTCATCCGCCGAGCCCCTTCGCCGACAAAGTGCGGCAAACAAACAGAAGTACTGAAAAACTTTTTAATTTTCGTGCTCGCTTTTCATGGCCAAAAGCCTGTGACTGCGGCACCGTCGTTGCGCCGGCTTTGGCGCGTGTTGATTGCACATCATTTTCAATGTTGCGCGCGAAAAAGTATGCTACGCATTTTTTCCCCACTCGTTTTCGCTTTCGTTTCCATTTAGCAGCGCTTATGTGCGGCTCAGCGACATATTAAACAATCGAAAAGCACTTGGCAAGGACATAAAAAAGAGACGAGGAATACACAACAAAACGAGCAAAAAATACTCAATGTATAGAAAATACAAAAATAAAAATGAGGAAAAATGTATAGCAAAGCACACAGAAAATTGATTGCCATTTCAGGGGCAATTTTTAATGAACAGCAAATACCGCGAACAACAAAACGAGCCCAAAAATCCGTAAAGCTAAATGAAATACGAGAAAACTGCTGTTTGTCTATGTGTGTGCGTATGTGTGTGTGTGTGTGTTATCCCATTTATACCAGCGCCTAATTGTTTATTTTTAGCGCACAATTTTATGGGCAAACACTTGTCACAAGCGCACAATGGATGTTATATGAAACTGTTTTTATTTTATATATATTTATATATATATTCTAAGTTCCTTCCCGAAATTAGAAAACCAACAGATGGCCCTCGAATGCTTTTAGTATATTTGACAGTAACCAGGCTCAAATTGAAATGTTTAAAGAAAAAAGAAGGAGAGTTTTATACTTTAATATAAAAAAAAAAAAAACAGACATTACGGAACTTAGCTGTGTATTGGATTTTAAAGAGAATTTATTTAATAGGAGGTAAAGTAATAAATTAAAATATAATAAATAAATTGAATACTAATATAAATTATAAATTGAATAAAAAGTACAACTTTACCAAAATGGGCTGAACATTTTTTAATTTAAATTATATTTTTAAATATTTTCTTGAAAAAAAACTAAATTCAATCGTATTTTAAACCCACAGATTTTTTGTTGCTTTCAACTTAAAATCAAAATTGACATGTAATTAATTTCACGCACAATTTCATAAAACAGCCTCACGCAAAGTTTGTGTAAATTTATCAGTTATTAATATTATATGCACTTCCGTGAATGCTAAAACATTTTTTTAAAATAAACTACTTTTTGGTTTTTTTGTTGGTCTCTCGTAGAAAAACTTCAGTTTTGCACACCATTTTTTTTTTAGGTTCAAAATGTATTTAATAAAGAATCAATAATAATTTATTAAAATGATTTACTTTTATTTGCATGGAAATGTGTTATTTGTTGATAAGAAAAAGCTATGGACACATATTTGCAGTGCTCATAAACCAATTGAACTGTGTCTCTCGTTTTTCAACACTGAACCAACCAATATCTATTAACTGAAAAATTTCAAATAAAACGCATTTTGTGGCTGCTGCTGCTGCTGATGCTGATGATATTGGCTTGCAACTGTTTTTCGTTAAATGCAAATTTATTTGCCAACAGCAGCCCGCGAATGTGGGCAACTGCGTGTCCAATAAAAGCCAAAATGCACTTGCCTAAATACACACACAAGCACACACACACACACTAGCCACAGCGTGTGACCTATTTGGGTTGCCCACGTGGTCAATATTTGTCGTAGATATTCGATTTGGGATGCTGCAAACACGCTGCGCTCCAATGCAAATAGCCAAAATACCAACAGAAACAACAGCAAAAAAAAATAAATAAATGAGAAGAAAACCTATTGCCAATTTCGGTTGACAAGCCAAATGTTTAGCAACAACAGCAGCTGGCCAAAAGCTCTTGGTTTCAACAGCTTTTCTGTGTAGTCAATATATTAAAGGGTATATAATTCATGTATGGACAAATACATAAACTCTTCAAAAAGACAATACCTGTAAATAAAACATGTTTCTTTTTTAAAGATATATGTTGAAACTGAGCGAATCGGATTACAATATGTTTTATTTATTCTTTATTTCCCCATTTGTAAATAAATTAACTTTAAGAGACCAACGAATATCCTAGTCGGGCCCTCTTTCGCCGGCACTTTAAAATTAGAAATCGCTGAATTAAATTTGGATTACCATATCCCTCAGCTGCCACAGTTGTCTGTTTTACGAATTAAATCGCTATCTAGTCCATCTTTAACAGATTTCTATATATCTCTGCACCTACTATAAACACAGCTGACAAACGGTTTCAATGCGAACGCACAAGTATTTAATTTTCTCTAGCCCAACGTCAAAGTTGCATTCTGTGTACCCGAAAATTTACATAAAAGCTTAAATGAAAATTTTAACGATAGACGAACAACCGGGCCAATCGACAGGTTCGGCATTTGGTGGAGAACGAAGAGGGAATTGTTTGGGGCACTTACCTGAATTGGGTCCATTGCTGTTCGGTCGCGCTGAGGGCGCACCGTCGCGTGCCTCTACCTCGAGGGCGTAGGCGCCCTTTTTCTCCCTGTCGAACACGGTTTTGGTAAAGATTTCGCCGCTTTGCAAATTAATTTCAAAAAATTCTTTGCCCTCGTTACGTGGCGAGTCGACGATGTAGTAGTAGACCTGCAAGTACATGCAACACATAAACGTTAGACAAAAAAAAAATAAAATAAAATTTTGTTGACAAATCAAAAATTTGTCAGGAAGTTAATTAAAACATGTCGAGTTCAAAGAGGAAATTGCCAAGAATTTAAATCAAGCGAAAACTGCGCAGCATTTAAATACTGTCAGGCATATTAAAGGGGCCCTAGAAGCATGCTGATGATGATGATGATGCTGCTGCTAATGATGATGTTGATGATGTTAAAGATAATCAGCCCCGTCTTTCAACAAATTTGTCGTGTCTGTGTAGCTGCGGCTATAAATGAAAAACGCTAATTAGTGCGGACATTTTGCGCGTACATGCAAATTACTTGGCTGCAGGACACGAAATGTGGCCAAGAGAATGAAAATGGCCAACGTCGCCATGGCCAGTTAGCAGTTACCAGTTACCAGTTACTATTTACCAGTTACCCATTACCCATTTACCATTTACCAGTCAGCCAAGTACCATATTATTATAATCGCGAGTATAGCTGCGGGCCTTGGCGTCCCTTTCGCGTCCTGCCCTCAAGGTCTGCTGTCAGACGCATAAAGGACGGCACAGACTGTGGGTCGCTTTTTGTCTTCCTCTTTTTTTATCTTCTTAGTTCTCTGTTTTTTTTCTGGACATTTTTTTTTGCCTTGTGCTCCACGCTTTGAACTTTCACTAAGGGCTTAGTGTACTTAAGAGCGTGTGAAAATACTGCAGCACAAAAAAAGAGTGGCAACTCTTTGACATTTATAAGCTCAGCTGCCAGATGAGCCAAAGGCGACGGAAGTGGCAAAAAAAAAATTAAAAAAAAAACAAATACAAATAAAAAAAGGCGTAGCGCTCCAAAGGAGTGAAGCATTATTAAACTCATGCGGTCAGACTGCAATGCGGACTATTTTGATTTAAAGCTGAACTTGTTTTACTTTTAAGGATTTAAATGTTAAACAATACTGTTAAAACTCTGTGGCAATCTTATTTTCTGTTAAGTCTAAGTTGGCCATTTAAGACACTCGCATATTGTTAACAGTTTACATCATATAATGTTAACATGCACTTAACACTCTCAAATGTTAAGGAATTGCGTTAAATAATGTTATGTTAACATGTATTATGATGCTCAACTGTTATTTAAAAACCTCGAACATTTTGAAAACTTAACATAATATAATGTAACATCAACCTAACATGGTGCCTACTTAAGAACCTCGCACAACAGTTAAAGAGCTGTGTTAAGTCCAACATGGCTATTTAAAAACACTCAAAGTAATGTAATGTTAACATGCACTTAACATTCTCAACTGTTAAGGCACTAGAAATTTAAGCGCTTTACAGCACATTAAGCAAATGACGCTTTAAACTTTGGCCCCATCCACCCCCAAATTGGCAACCCTTCATTGTGACGCTTTTTTGTGTCGCTTGCTTCATGCTTCACACAGTCATTCATTTGCCAACAATCGCCTGGCATTTCCGCAGCTGGCGTTGCTCAACCCGCTACGTGCCGCAGCCCTCTTATCACCGTATCTGGCAGGCTAAAAGGATGCGCTACCTTCACTCAATTTATTCGCGCTCCGCATTGCTCACCTGATTATTTGGGAATGTGCCATCCTTGTCAATGGCATTCACTTGTGTCACTTTGGTGCCAATCGGTTCGCCCTCCAGCACCGTTTCCTGTTCGCGTTCGGTGAATAACGGTATTTCGTCATTAACATCCTCGAGCATTATGTAAACGGTCGCTTCCGATGCCAATTGCTGGGCGCCGTTGTTCTGTAATGTTGCAAAAAAAGAAGAAAAAAATCCAAGAATGTGAAAATTGTAAATTCCGCCACTTCAAATATTTAAAAATGTAATTTAAATTTTATCTTGTCCACACTTTTAATTAGTACATTATATACGTACGTAATATGTAAAAATATTTTTTCTTATTTCGCAAATGAAATAATTGAACACATTTTTATTTAAATATGCCCGGCATATTTGACTGCATATGCAAGTAATATAAAAGAAATTCTGACGCCGGAATTCTGTCAACAAAGCAGTAAAATATTTAATGTCATTAATTTTATACACTTTTTTATTTGAATTTCTTTTAATCATTTTTTTTCGGTTTGCTCTTAAAGTTATTTTAATGAGGAAACCTTTTGATCATGTAAAACAGAGTCCAATATTGATTGATTGATTGAGGAGATGCTATCAATCAACACATCGTCTGCTTTATTATGCAATTGATTAGCCTTTTCTCGCAATGAATCCAATTGCTGTGTTATCCACAATTTTCATTGTGTTTGCCAATGAACCACAGATGGCCCCGGGGGAAATTCCAACCCTCAATGCCTGTAGTCAAACTTATGTTTATTTGCTTGTGTTTTGTATATTAATCAATGCAAAGATATGTCCATATATGAAACATTTGTTTACATTTGTGAATGACAGCACGCAAAACCCAATCACAGGGCGATGCGAGACAAAGGGAGACGGGGCAGAAAGTGAGAGCTGAAGCAATTCCAAAATGAATTATTTATTTTTGCCATCTTGTTATTGGGTAAATATGTATTTGCTAGTTTGCTAGTTAATTAGAGTCTGCAGGCAGCAGCAAAATTTGACAAAGTTTGATTAGGCAATCGAACTATTTGCTGAGGGATTTGCATAAATACACAAATCTCAAATATCAATTGAGCGTAGTGCTTCAAACTTGTCGCACAAACAAGTATGTAAGCAATGATATATAACAGGCGCTGTTAGAAACTATATACCTAATTTAACTCAATTCGCAACTCGAGTGGTTTTCATTTCATAATTAGTAAGATAAGATGTGAGTGTAAAAGTGTTGGCTAACATGAAACGACTTATCATGGTTGAGTGTTGAACAACGCGTGAATTTCATTCGCAACAGTTGTGCTTAACAGCTGTTATCTTAACAGCTTATTAGTTTGTTAATAGATTTGGTAAGTTAGCTTTGCAGCTTAATATTTTTTAATGAACAATTCTTTATACTAACTATTCAAGCACAGAAAAGTGCTCTCTTCCGCCTAAAACTATCTGCTTGGCGCTGTGTCAATGCTTTGGCCCATTAACATGACGCCAGTCAACACGACGCCTGTTAACACGACGCCGGTTAACATGACGCTTGCCAGCCTGTTAACATAACGAATAACAGGCTGATGCGAATATTTATGTAAACTAGCTCAACTTGCAACATTTAATTTTAAACATTCAATTAGCGCATATCCTCTACATTTTTACTTTAAATATTTAATAAATATTTCAGATGCTTTTCGAAGCCACGACAAACAATTGTAGTTAACCGCAAAACATTTTAAAAAAATGTTATACATTTTTTAATTAATATTTGATATTATTTAGAATTTATTTATACATGGGCAGCGACCGCAAACTCTTTTAAAAATTAATATGAATATTTCGTTGACATTTGTGATGCGGCAACAACAAAAACAACAGATTTGCTATGTGCAAAAAAGAAAATACTAATGAAATGTCGGGGGATATTTAATTAGCTGCATTAAATGCGAATGCAATTGCTTTTTAATAGCACACACACACTCACAAATATATATGTGTGTGTGTGTGGGTTTGTGTGTTTGGCCTGGCCTTTGGGGGCAACGGGCACATCATTTGTGGCATTTGTTGCTGCGGCGCCTCGCCTTGGTCCTGGTCATGTTTAATTTATTGAGCAGCTGCAACAATTTGTCAATAATTTTAGCATAGCTGAATGGTCGCACTAATGAGCTGCACTGGAGATAGAGAGATCCAGCCAAAACTTGGGCACTGATTGAAATTCAATTGAGAAGCGCAGCGAACTGACAGCCAGTCAGTCAGGCAGTCAATCAGTCAATCAGCTGCTCGATTGCCACATGCCAGAACTAAATCAAGCTGAACTCAGTTCACAGTCAAATTGCTTAGCGTGCGCTCTGCATTTGCATGCTGTGAAGCGTGGGGCTGGGCACGGGAACGGGCACGAGGTGGCCTCAAAGTCGCGCAAGTAATTAAAACTTTTCAAATAAAATAATTACAAACGTATTTCGAAGTCATTTTCAAATGCAAAAGTCAAACACACGCCGCCATCAGCTCAAGCTGAGCGCTTAATTGAGCGCAGCAGAACTTGAAAACTTGAAAACTTGAACAACTTTGTGGATTTTTTGGCTTTTCCGCTATTTTCCGCTAGTTATTTTAATTTTTTTTTGCTGGTTTTTGCTAAGCAAACCATTTACAAGTTTAAATTGAAAACTGTTCACACTTACCTCCACACGTATGGTTAAGTTGTATTCCTTGATGCTCTCATAGTCCAGCGGATGATTGACCTTTATATCGGCCCAGGTGTCACCATTGTCCGGTCTCTGTTGCAGATAGAACGTATGAAACTTGTTCGTCTGTGCCGTTGACCCAGGCATTAATCTATAGAAAACCGTTGGATTGCCCTCAATGCCCGAACTGCAGACGTTGGTGGCAGGTGAAAAAAATATATAGTATATATGAGTAATGGCTTTGGTTGGGATGCATTTACAGAGATAGTTGTTAGTGTAGAAAGAGTTTAACTACATGACATGGGTTATTTATAGAAATTATGAGTTTATGCTACAAATGTTGAAATACTTTAAACTTTTTCAAAAAACAAACTATAAAGTATTTAGTTAGATGATCATAAAAAATGTATTGAAAAGCATCAAGAATTTGTAGAATTCTTTAAATGCTCTTGCAAAAATTAACAGTAAGTTGTAAGATGACGTTTACAAGATATGTGAGTGACACGCACACACGCACACACACACACACACACACTCACTCACACTCACACGCACACACACGCATGCGACATATCAAAATACAAAAATTTGATTTATGACACAAAAGAAAAACAAAAACGTATTTTCAAGACTTTCGATTGCTCCACAAAAAAACAAGCAAAGTATTGCGCCTCAAATTGGAGAATTTCCTTTTTGTGAGCGTCTTTCGTGCAAATGGAACCCAAAAGAAATAACAGGAAAAGCCAAGAAAAACTCTCAGCTCGAAACGGAAACGCAACAGAAGAGAAAAAGAAAAGATGACGCAAAAAAAAAAATGGCTTCAAAACATTTAATTGCCATTCGAGTGTCAAAAAGTTGTTGGACTGAATTCTAGACTGGTTAGTTCTGGCGAGGGGGCGGCGGGTGGGGGTGTGTGGAGGTATGGATTTGGGGGAAGTATACACGGCCGGCAGATGATTCTTTGCTTTTTGTGTACAGTGGGCGAGGCGCAGATAATGAAAAACAAATTAGGCTAAAGAAGCAAACAAACAAAAAATAAATTTTATTTGCACTTGGACAACACTTGCAGCTGACAGAAGAGCGACCAAAATGGAGAGAAAAAAAATATACACGATGAAGCAAAGAAAAACTTCGGAAGCTGCCTTAAAAAATTGCAAGAAATCTGTCAGACTGCGCAAAATTGTTGCTGCCAAGGACGAGCGCCAAAATAAATATGATGGGGAAAGGACAAGGAGGATATATATGGCAAAAAATCGGTAGCAAAAAAGTTGTGTGAGGTGTTTTTGGTTCGGTTGGGGATTTGCTTTTGGTTGGGAAAAATTTGTGAATTGCATGAAATGTTTTCCATCGTTTTGGCTGTGAGTGTTCTTTTGTGTATTATATATATTTATATATATATATATTGGTATCGTTCGTTTGTATTGCAAAATCAAAACTAATTTTGTGGAAACATTTTCAGTGTATTTTGTGTATTTATTGAATTGGTTTTCTGAGCACTTGGGTTTTTAATTTAAAGAGAATAATACGCCTGGTTTGCAGTTAATGCCTAAATGCTATGACTATCGATATATACTAATTCAGGGCTAGTTGCTAAAATACAGAATAAATTGACAAATGGAAAGTAAACTTAAGTAAAAATAATGAAAAACCTTGCAATCGAATCAGTCCGACTGCGCAATACTCTGTTCACAGTGTGATAAAAGCTTCAAATAGATCGAAGCAAATTTGTGCTTTTGATAATAGGCTTCTTGACTGAAAAATTGTAATCCCAAGATAATGGCTTTTTCAAATAGATCGAAGCAAATTTGTGCTCTTGATTATAGGCTTCTTGACTGCAAATTGTAAGCCCAAGATAATGGCTTTTAAACGGCGCATTGGGAAATAAAGATTTGTGAAATGTTGAGCGTGAATTGGAGAGGAATATATTTAAAACTATCTTTAGAGATCATCAGTAGTCTACCTGCTAAGCTCATGAGTAGATCTAAGACTACTTAAGATAAAGTGTACATATATGTATATGTATCTAAATGCCAGGTAGGCAGGAAGTAAAAATCTTAACATACTACTGCATTGCAGCTTTAATATAGCAAAAAAAACGGACTGTTCACAAGACAAATATTTCACAAAGCTAATATACTCTTTTTACTTACTGAACAGAGTACATTTATACACTCGATAAGCAGCATAACACTTTCTACTCAGCTTCTATGCGGCTAACATTTATCGTTAAGTTCTGCTGTTAAGTGTGACCCTAGTTTTTTACACTAACTCGCATCGCTGTTTTTGTGGTTGTTGTTGTTCTTGTTGCCTGCTTAAATGCATGTTACACTCGGCAAACACTTGACAGTGTGCGCATTAAGCGCACTGAGACAACAACAACAACAACAACAATGACAAACAACGACAACAAACACATTTATTATGAGATACGCGCGCTTGAAAACGCAGCCCATGTTGTTCCGCCTGCACGCAGCTTCCTCTGGCAGACGCCTTGCTTAATAGCATCTTGGCTATACAAACACTCGCACACGCACACACAAATATATATCTATTTTATATATATATATATAGAGTAATATAAAAAGTTGACAATTTTGTGCTGGGACAAGATAATTGCAAAAAGGAATAAAACGAAACACAAGTAAAACAAGTAAAGTAATAACAAACAGAGAAGAATGAAAACAAAAAACGTATTTTACACGAGCTCAACGTAACGTAAGAAACCCGAAACGTCGTAACGTAAGCCCAAGCACGTTTAATAGTTGGCAATTTCCTAAATACTTAGCATATAAATGAAATTTACTTAGAGAGCACTAAACTAACTGTAGCAAGGTGGATGCAGTTGGTGCAATAATTTGTGGCCGTTGCGCCACGGTGCGTATGTGCAATATGCGCCAGCAGCGCGTTTGGGTTAAGAACACTTTAAGTGCATTGCTTTTAGTGCTAACAATAAAAAAAATTAAACAAATAATAAAAAATAAAAGAAAGGAGAGTGGAGACTGGGGAAAAAAGTACTGACTGCCACTGGCCACAAACTGACGCATAATTAAAACGTCAGAGCCATGTGGTTGGCTTGCCACGAAGATAAAACTCTATTCGTTATGTTAATGCTGCCCTGAGAGAGCGAGAGAGAGAGAGAGAGTCAAGGGGAGCGAAAGAGAGAGAAAACAGGCGAAGAAGCGCACTGCAAGCCAAAAGTCATTTAAGTGCGCTACTTCAAGTTTTTAATTGCAATTATGAAAAACAAAACTTTATTTAAATAAACTTTACATTCGGAAGCCCTCGCCATCTCTCAGGTCTATGATCATTGCAGAATATGAAAAGTACTTGTGTACGGACTGGGCAAGAGTCAAAGTGGTTTTGGCCAGGTAATTTAAAATGCAGCTGGCGGCTCATCAACAGCGAAGGTCATCAAGTAGTGGCAATTGTGGCCACCCACGTTGGGCGCCAGCAACTGTATTAACATAAAATACTTGCTAGTCACTGCAACATTTGACCCCAATTTAAATTGGAATCGTCAGCGTATCAGCTAAGGTCATCAAGCAGTGGGAATTGCATTTCATTAAACTAAACTTAACTCGGCTCACGTTGAGCGCTAACAGTTTATTTACATGGAATTCTCGCTACATTTTAATTATTAGCCCCCAAGCTTCTTATGGTTATAATAATGTGATTATCCATACGTTTTTATCGATTAATATACAGCTTTTGAGGAGTTACAACTTGGTTTTGTACTCAGTCTATACAAAAATAAAAAATTGTGCATATCGTGTGATTTGTGCGGATTTCTAAGTATAGGGAATGTGTTTACTGGTGCTTGTGATTTGAGTGCAGCATTTAGAGTGATGGGATGTGCGATGATAGGGAGCAAAGGGAACTATGCATCGTTGAGAGTGCGAAAATGAAATTTAATTGAAATAAATTAATATTCAATTCAATTAATTTGCACACTCTCAAGAGCACTCTTAAGGATTTAGCTAAGAGGGTAGACTAAACATCTAGAACAACATTCAGAACACACATAAAAAAAATAATGACAACTACGTGAAACAACACCAAAAACCGAAAAATGACAATGAAAATGATTTGATTTTTTAACAAGAACTAAAACTGAACACCTAGGAATAAATGTATATATTAATGTAGCTTATCGAAAGTAACTAAGCGAAATGGTATGGCAATTTTCTTATAGTGAATTTTTATTTATTTTTTTTGTTTTTTGTTTTGTTTGTTTTGTAAAACATTGCACTAACAGACCTGGCTTTGATCGAGACGACTTTGCCGCCAACGGGCATATTTTCCTTGACATAGATCGGCCCATAAACGGTATGGTCCCAAACGGGCGGATTGTTGGCACGATCGACCACATCGATCTGTACTTCGACCGTACGCGATAATGGCGGATAGCCCTTGTCTTGGGCCATCGCCTCTAATTTGTATGTCTCGCGCTGTATTTTGAATACATTTTCATTTGGTTTTCGTTTTGTTTAAATTTTTTTTTTTTTTGTTTTTCAAAAAAGACAAGCACGTTTCAAAATCAAGCGAGCATTGGCAAAAACACAGACGCGTCGTTAAAGTTTAGGAAAAAATGCAAAATACAAAAAAAATTTTAGTTGTAAAAAAAACTCAGTTTTTAGTTGTTGGAAAACAAAATGAAGCAACAGGTTTTTGTTTTTTCGAAAAATCAAAAGTTTGAATACACGTAACCAACACCTTTTTTATGAGGAAGTATACAGCCAGCATTAAAACTTAAAAATCAAAACTTTAGAAACTTGAAAGGTTTCTATATATATTTTATGCCTTTTTCAAAAGGTTTTTTCTCGCAGTGCAAATTATTTGTTCTATTTTATTTGTATTTTTTTATCAAATAATGTCTCGACCCTAGCCTTCAAAATGTAAACAAAAAAAATATTGTCGCATACATATTATAAATAATTGACTTGAGCATAAATACAAATATATAATTGTTATTTATATAGTATTTCAGATATGATAGAAACTAAATGCATAACAAATGAAACTTAAAAAGGGCTTTGTGCATTTCGAGTAGTACAATTTTTATAGCATACTTTTTATATTTTTGAATAAGTTTTTATTTATTTTGTTGTTTTTCGACTATTGCTTTTTAACATTTTTGAACACTTTGTGAATATATATATAAATATATTTTCAGTTTAATTGCGTATTTACCTTGTTGTTTCCTAGTTCTTAAACTAAAACTGCAACCGTGTGTAAAATACATTTTTAATTAGATTCTCATTTTCCCAATTAAAACCAACACCGAATTTTGTGGCAACGAGACTTCACAGTTATTTCAAGCATTTTACCGTGTGTTTTTGGGTTTGTTGACTGAGAGGGGGGAGAGAAGTCAGAGTATTGGGTAAGCAATTCCAATGGGTAATGTGTAAGGTGGGTGAGAGTTGCAGCAAAATGCAAAAGTACCCGACAGCCGTCTTGAATAGACTGGCATACAAAAAGTTTGCTCAAAACAAACACCAACAACAGCATTAGAAATTTGTTTATCACAATTTAAAGACTTTTTTTGACATTTTTTCGAATGTGTCAAATTTTATTTAATTTTTTTGACATTGTTGATGGTTGAAAAAAATGTTGAGCTTTTACGATAGACCACAAAAATATTGTATCGTAAAATTTTAGTTAAAAATGTAAACGTTATGTTAGACGAGAGACAGTAACAGAATGAGACCGTATGTTAAAAATACTTGTACTGGCAAGCTTAAGCTATGTTCGTTAAGTGAGCGAAGTTTCGTTAAGCGAGTACATTTCGTTCGTTGAGCACATTTAGCCAAGACACAGTTTGCAACTGTTAGCTATAACATAGCAATGTTAATGTTATGCATGTTAAAATCTTACTCAAACGAATGCAACTCGATGAAACGAATTCAAACTCGGAAGCTTAAGCCTATGTTAGCCAAAATGCTGTTACATTTCAAAAAAAAAAAAGAAGAATAACTAACTATGTTAAGCTCACAGCTGTTAGGCTTTGTTGTTGTCAGGAACTTCAACTTGCTTCATTTACTTAGTATGTATGAGTTAACTGTAGTAGTACTTAGTTTTTATTTGTTGTGTAATGTAGTGTAGTGTATTGGCTATACAAACCTTGCCTTAACCGATGTTACAACCGTACCCACAGTTACATTCTCGCGAATATGGATAGGCCCATAAATGCTCTTATCCCAAATGGGCGGCTTATTATTGCGATCGACGACATCTAACTCAACATCGACATCGGCATATGAGGGCGGGTCGCCACGATCTGAGGCGCGCACGCGCAGGCGATAACGATCGCGCTGTTGATTGATCGATTGAGTTTTGATTGATTCATTGATTGAATGTGTGAAATGTAGCAGTGGTATAGATATCGTTAACAGCCAAATGTAAGCCGGTATATTAAACGCGTTGTATGTTAGTTTAGGTCGTATTTGGTTTGTGTATCGGGTTAACGTTGTGTGCGTGTTACGTTACGATTACGTATTTGAATGGCATCGTTGTCGTTACAGGTTAACAGTTTATGTTTGAAATTTAGTATTTCATTATAAATATATATAAAACATAAGTGAAATGAAAATGAAAAATCAATACTTAGAAATCAAGTAAAAGTTTTGGGAGGAATTATAATAAAGCTTTTACTAGGGATAAGCAAGGATATGTAACGTACAGGCGGGCTTTATTTGGGAGATTTAAGACAAACATATTTTAAAGAGTTTAATTGGTATGGGATTTCATTTAAATTTGTATATTGGAAATTTTGACGAGACTATCTCTTGCTTTGGTTAAGAGAAACTGACAGCAATCTGATGAAGTGTGTTGGAAAATTTACGTTGAAGAAAAATGCTCACTAAAAGGACTATGCAGATTTTAATTTAGTACTTGTTTGGAGTTGCCTTGAAAGATGCCAGCTAAAACCAGATATATTATGATTATGTACAACATGAAGTATTCAGTATCTGTGCGAGCACAGAAAGTTAGTTTCATTTTGAGGTTAGCTTACAAATTGGTGAGCAAATCGATTTGTTGCTGGGTTAGCACAGTATAACAGCAAATTATTACAGACACTTCATTTAGATTTATGTATTTTAGAAAGATTCGATTACTTACAGGATAACAACCCTAAATTGTTGACAACAGTATCGATAACAGTATCGATAACACCATTTCATATGTAAATAGGAAATTAAAAGGAAACAGAAACATTAACTCGCCTCAATTAGCTGAAGTCGCACATAATTTTAAAATAATACAAATTAAAAATTGTAAAAGGTGCAGTTAAATTATATATTAAATTAACGTCGCCTGCTATCATATAGATGTTTTGATGTTTGATTATATCACAAAAAAATATATGAGCGTTGCACACGCATTTTCCATGGGCATGCGAAAATGCGCGCATCAAAATGTTTACATTTTTCTTGAATATGATTATGAAAAATGATTAGCTAAAATCAAAAATATATATATATGCAGCTGTCAGCAAGAGACCTTCAAAAATTCGCATAGTCTCGACAAAAAACGTTTTGCTTATATGGTTATTTTTTTTGATATGGGTTTGTTGTTGGGATTTTGTAGGGTTAGCAAAAATAAAATGTAAAAGAAATTGGCATACAAAATCAAGCTACATTTGTAAAAATTGTTTTGTAGTTTTATGATTTGTTTTTAAAAGATTTTCTTTCTTTTAGCCATCAAAAATTGTACAACGATGCTCAAAAATAGGCGTGATCGTTTTTTTAGGGGCTAGTTTATAAAACCTGTGTGTTATTTGTTTTCTGTTTTACATTTGCTTAAGCCTAGGAACCTAACACCACAAAAATAAAAGCAGCAGCTGGCAGTTAAAAGCTTTTTTTACATAATGCCCCATTTTGTCCAACTAAATTTAACCGGAGTACCCATTATAATACCTTTTGTATTTTCGTTGTGTTTTTGTTGATTTGTTTCAAAAAATGTTAAAAATCAATTCGCTTGGCATTGTTACTTATTTGAAAGTTTTCATTTTTGGGCCAATTACGCACTATAAACTAAACAAAAATAAAGTACAAATAATAGAAAACTAACTAAAAATAGTACACAAAAGCGCATATATATGGCATATATGGCATTTCTTATATGTAGTTTGCGTTTATTTTTTATTATTTCTCATCTTTTCGAATGTGACAAAAAAACTTGCACTGCTTTTCACATCGAATTCATTTTAGGCTACCAATAAAAAAAATGAAAAAATCAATTGATAGCCGTCCTAAAAGTTTTGCGGAAGGGCTTTGCACAAAGTCTCTTAAACAAAAGAAAGGTGCAGTTGAAATAAAAATTAGAACTGAATGCTAAAATTTCTGCTAGTTAGCAAGCCGCGATAACTCTGACTTTATGAAATTCTGGCAGCGCTAAGCGCTTCAGCTTTGGATTGTTAGTTAGTAAAGGAAATGAAAATATTTTCAATTTTATTTTCATTTTTTTTGTTTTCTCTTTTGTAAGTACAAACATAAAACTTGGTTAATTGGGTTCGCAAACTTAAGAAATGGTAACAAATGCAAGAATATGATAGAATGGGAAAACAAACACTTACGTCAAGCGGCTTCTTTAGCACTATCCAACCAGATTCGGCTTGTATATCGAAATATTCCAGATCGTTGGGATTGAAGGGCGCGCTCAGGCTATAGACAATCGCGCCATTATTATCCGCATCCTCATCGGAGGCCGAGACGCGCAGTATGTTGGTGCCAATGCTGGCATCCTGCTTAACATTCTCCACATATTTCTGCAAGGGAGTGAAACGACCTTTAAACCTCCAATCTTTAATTGAGCTTTCCGCAGGGGTAACTCACCTGACGATCGAATAGTGGCGGATTATCGTTCACATCGGTTATCTCCACCGTAAAAGAGCAGACGCCCTCTAAGCTGGGATCACCCTGATCAGTTGCCTTTACAGTCACGGAGACGAATTTGCCGTCGTCACCTTCACGATCGAACACTTTGTTGGTGGACACTTCGCCAGTTTCCTCGTCCACTGTGAATTTGGTGCCCTTCTGATTCGGTTGCTGTACAATCGAGTATTTAACCTGACGGGCGACAAAGAACATGCAAAATTACTTAATGATTGTCACAATTGTGATTATAGCCCCAGCGAGGCGTTGCCACACCGGCGCACGACATGCAACACCGTTCGCCTGCCTTTTTTAAGTGCATTGAACTTGAGCGTGGCAACTCTGTTCAAAATCTCGACACGAAATCTCCAGCACTCGCGCGACTAATACTATTTGGCATAAACGTGCTAGTGAATGGCCCAAAAGTCACAAACCCCTAATTAAAAGCAGGCACTCATAATTGCAGCTTAACAAAAAAATGCACCACTTTTAGCCAAACAAAAACTATTGGGGGTGTTCAAGCATGAAAAAGTGCTTAAGGACGAAATCATTTTTAAATATTTAAATATTTTGTTAATATTATTATTATTATTACTAAACTAAGTCAGTCATATAATATGATAATAATGTTTTCTTACATTTTTGCTTTGTATTTGGCAAGTTTCCAAATGGAACTATCGATATTGGCGACTATCGATTATTTAAGCTTTAAATTTTCCCTCATCTAAAAAGCTAGTATCGACTATTAATTATGGGAATTTCAGTGTATAGTGCTGCCTTTTAAAACAAGCAACAATCTCTAGTTACCCTAAACTATTGATAACACAATTGATTGTGACGAGAAAATATCGATTGGGATTAGTCTATCAACGGGGCTTAATAGCGATTTTTATATTTATTGGGTGTATAATAAAAAAATCAAAATGCTACAAAACACAATCGAATCCGTTGATAAACTATCGATTATTAAAATGATCAAATTTCTGTATAATCGAAAAAAGAAAGTGCTGCTTTGCTATCGATAACACCGATTTATTGCGACTTTCTATATTATTAACTATCGCAGCAATAATATCGATTTCCGGCAAATATATTTCATAAATAAATAAATAATGAGTTTTACGCCGCGCGCTTACCTGTCCATTGACGCCCTTGTCCTCATCGGTGGCCACAACCTTAATGACTGGACTGCCATTGGGTGCACCTTCCTCCACCTTGGGATAGTAGGTGCCGCAATCCTTAAACACCGGCTTATTATCATTGACATCGGTGATAAAGACGACAACGACAGCCGTGGAGGTGTGTATTGTCTGATCGCCGTTAACACAACAGGAACCATCATCCATGGCGGTCACATTCAGTTCGTACTTGTCGCGATCCAGTGAGATGGCCTTGTTATGCAGCCGTATGACACCCGTAATTTCCTCGATGACAAACTGGCCGGAGGAGGTGCCGCCGCCAACGAAACCGAAGCGCACATTATCGCCATCCTTGTCGGAGGCGACCACAGTGGTTACCAATGTATTCGGACCGGCATTCTCATCCACATTGGGCGTGTAGACCTGTTGTGAAAACTTGGGCTCCTCGTCGTTCTTGTTCTTGGTGTAGACACGCACGGTTGCGGTGCCCGACTTGGACGGTTCACCCTTATCCTTGGCGGTGACAATAAACTCATAGTAGGCATTGTTGTTGTCCGCATCGAGCTGCTTGTTGTTCACAATGATGCCATTGGAGTCGACAGCGAAATGATCATCCGATACAAGATACTCAATCTCAGCATTGGCGCCCGAATCGGCGTCCATGGCCTTAACGCGCAATATGCTGGTGCCCAGCGGTATATCCTCGTCCACATTGTGCGCCTGATAATCGGGTAGCTCAAACTTGGGCGCATTGTCATTGACATCCGTGACGCGTATGGTGAGCTGCAGTTGAAGGATATTTATTTTATTATTTTCCTTTTTTTGTGGGTTAAAATAGCATGTTTTTTTTGTTGATAGGCAGCATATCTGACGGCATACACTATATATATTTTTGGCCAGAGAAAAGAAAAAGTATTGTTCGTCTGTTCGTCTGTATAAGCGCAAGAGTTAGAGACTTTAAATTTAAAATATACATTCTCGACGACATTATTTATTGTCGATATCTTTTTCTACTTCGAAAATATCGATACAAATTAATTTTGATATTTAAGAATAACTCGAGAATTATGAAAGCTAGATAAACCAAAAATGGTTCTCGTATCTCTATATACAGATTTAAAGTACTTCACTTCTCGGATAACTCCTGCCCATTCCCCTGATTTGGTATAAACACACATATTTGGTGCTACATTTATGTCGTACATATTTCATAGAGGTCGGACTCTAAGCACCGATTCAGCAATATATTACATTACAAAAGTTAGCTGAAATGTTTGTAAAGAGCAGGGTTCAGGGTATGTCCTAGCCAGATACCTTCGACTACTACGCTTAGTTGTTTGTTCATTTTATCCATGTTACATTACCTCAACGGATGTGGAGAAGCCGCCGGAATCCTCGGTGGCTGTCACAATCAGCGTATAGACATGCGGCTGTCGCAGGTCCTCAAAGTCCAGCTCCTTGGCCAGCTTGACAATGCCCGACGAGGGTCCAATGTTAAAGGTGCCGGCGCCCTGTCCCTGCGCCTTCAGTGTATAACGTATCTCACGGTCCGCAAAGGATTTGGCCTTAACCGAAATGATGCTGTAACGAAAAGGAGAAAGAGACAGGCCACAGAGGAGCGTGTGGATGTGTGACAGTTAGCGAATGGAGTTTGTGGCTGTCATATGTAAAATGCATGCATATATTATAGAGGCGAGGCTGCGACGGGCTGCCAGGGTTGCCAGGGTTGCCGTCCGTCTGTCACTCGCTCGACTGCCTTTTGACAGTTGTTTGTTTGCAATGGGAATTTCAATGAGCCAGCCCAGACATTGTCATGCTCTAATTCGCATAACTTTTATTGGCAGTCCGTACATATGGATTTGTATATATATCTATATTTATATTCCATCCCACCACCACCCTACTTACTCGGAGTCCTTTTTCTGATTCTCGGGTATCTCAGCCTCGTAGCCGGGCATATAGAATTGTGGCGCCCGTTTGCCGCCCACAATCGATAGACGCTCCTCGGGCGTGCTTTGGAACCTGCGATCATCCACCTTGCCATTCTGATCCTCCGCCTTCACATACAGCACATATTCCATGTCCAGCTGGAAGAGATCTGTGCCCCGGGTGCGCACCACGCCCGAACGTTCATCCACTTCGAAACGTCCGCCCGTGCGATCCCGCACTATGAAATAATGTATATTATGATCCGTATCCGGATCGCGTGCCTGCAGCGTAAATACGGGCGTATTGGGCGGTGCATTTAGCTGAACCACCGCCTGCATCGGCAGCGGTCGATTGATGAAGTAGGGCGGCTCGTCGTTCACATCCTTCACCAGGATAATCACGCGCTGGTTGTCCGTGTACTTGATGCCAGCTGCAAGTGCAAAGAAAAAATTTGGTATGAAAACAAAAGATTCGCAATTTTGGTGCTCAGCGTTTTGTTTGTCTTGTTGCGAGCACTTTGCATATGCATATGCATACTTTTCGGGCACACTGTATTGTGGCTAGCGAAAAGTTTGCTTTCGGTTGCTGCCATTGTTATCACAACTAATGGATAGTTGGTTTAGTCAAGGGAAAACGGAACAGAGCGCGGGGACAGTCTATGCAAAATTTGCAAAACCCAACAAGAAAAACAAAAGGAAAAGGCGGCTAGCCACTGTCGTCGGGTGGTGGAAATTTAAAGCGCTCGAATTTCACTTAAGCCAAATGCAAATGCAATGAGCTGAAAAATAAGTCCAAGGCAGCGTGTTGCAAGTCGCAGCAGCAAGTGTGTCCCAAAGCTAATTATTCGAAATTTTGCACAAGTGCGAAAGTCTAAGAACTTCTGATATAACAGAAATTGTCGAATGTTACTCGAGATATTTGTATATATATATTTACCAAATAGCTTATGCATATATGTATATCCTTATACAAATAGCTTCATATATATATACAACTATTTTTCTAGGTTATCACCCAATCGCTCTGCTCACATATATTCTGACTCTGACATTCAGCGGAAATCATAAATATAATTCATATAATTCAGACTATTTCCCAAATAATATGCGTATACCACAAGACATGGTCTTAAGCTAATATAAACCTAGAAATTGAACACGGAATCGGGTTTGAAAATCGAATTTCCCTTCTTGTGTACAAGTATCATTGAAAATACCAGCAAAGGTTTTACAGCTAATTTACTATGAAATATTCCGTGAGCAATTTTCTCTAGTCTTGCATTCCTGGAATATGTCTGAAACAGGTTTCAATTTAAAATTCCACAAAACTTGCTAATTTCATTTTTTGACCCGACCTCAGCTGCAAAAATGGTTAAAAAATGGAAGTACACAGAAATGAACAGCTTGAAAAAATAAAATCAATAAAAACGCCGCCTGTCGGCATAAAAAAATAAAATAAAATAAAAAAAGGGAAAATGAAGCGGGGGTCGGCTTAGCTACCTTTGCAAAATGTCTGCAGCGGAAAATACCAATCATGCTGTTGTTGTTGTTGTTGTTGGTTAGCGCAAACAGCAACAAAGGCAACAACAACAACAACAACAAGGCAGCCCCTGCAAAAGGATCCAAAAGGAACCCCAATGCTGACGCTGGCGCTTATTAAAAGCGTGTGTAGCTGCTTGTGTGTGTGGGTGGAGTGTATGCGTGTGTGTATGGTGTGTATATGGGTGTGTAGAGTGGAGTGGTAGACAAATAAGACAGACGATTTACTTGCCCTTTGCCTAGCGGGCCCCAGGTCTGAGCAGAAAACCCCGAATGAAATTCGAGCGCAATAAAAGCAAAAGAAAAATGTACAAGGGCGTCAGAGAAAGGGGCGTAGCATGTGTAATTTCTCAAGTGCAGCAAAGTGAATTGTAAACAGGTACAAAGTGCGCCCTTCAACCGACCCACACACACACACACACCCCTCCTCCCCTAGCCAAAGCCAGCGAAGAACAGGATACCCCCAAAATTTGAGCTCAAAAAAAGAATGCGACCAAAAACGCGTCAAATAAAGACACGTTAAGAAGCAAAGGAAATTCGACTGCCAAAATAGGGTGTATAGATGCATATGGAAAATATATGAATGCAAATATATATATGCAGATATATGCTCAACAGATTGCACAAAAATGCAACAAAGTGTGTGTCTGCAGAGGGGGTGGGGTTGTGCGGGCTTGCGGCATCTTGGCAACTGCCACTTTTGCATTTCAGCCAAGTTTTGATATTTGCCAGCTTTGGCATTGTTGGCAACGCTTTTCTATGGCTTATTCAGCGGGGCAGGTAAAGCTAAAAATCTAAATAACACCAAATACATAAATGAAAGTTGTGCTCGCTGTTGTTGTTGTTGTTGTTGTTGTTGCTGTGCACTGGAACGTGCCACAAAGCAGCAGCCAACATGGCGGATATCCGTGGCGACAATGCACACGATGAAAGCAGGCAGACGAGATGTAATTGCACGGGGGAAGTTTATAGGGGGTGTGTGTGTGTGTGTGTGTGTGTGTGGGGAAGGGGGTTCGTTGTGTTTGCCATTGTACTTTTGAAAAATGGCTGGCGCAAATAAAGATTTTCGACATGGCTTTTATGCCGGCCTCAGCCAGAAATTGTTCCAAACCGACTTGGCAACAATTTCACAACAATCCGCATTTATCATTTGATTTAGTTGAGTTTCTTGAAATAAGCAACAGAAATTGAAATCGGCCAGTTTCCGGCCTGTTCGGAGAGCGAGGACAATAAACTCGATTTGGCAACAGCTGCTCAAAGGTTGCGAATTGTGTTCACAAAAATTTCATTTTATATAATTGAAGTAAATTCTACGAAATGTGGACTTGACTTTCGACATGGCAAATAAAGTGTAATGTGTTTAACTGCCTCAATAGTTAGATAAATATATATTAGGTTAATTTTTTTGCTAAGATATTGAAATTTAAATTTTCAAATATAATCTAGATAAATATAAACTAAACATCCAACTTGAACTAACTCCTGCTGCTTCCCTTATTCTTTTCAAAATTTCAAATAGAGTTGTTTTATGCGAAGATCCCAACTGATTTATGAAGGTCTATTAGCTGCCTTTTTGTATATTTTTTGTAAATTGCTGTCGCACGCGCAACTATCCTCAGTTGACTGTCGTACAGTCTATACTCGCTTTGGCGTCAGACGACGTCACATTACGAGAGCATTAAAATAAATTTGTAAAACGTAGATCATAAATAAATTTTGCTTACGCTGCACGCGTAACACGTAACACACAACTTTCAGTTGTCAATTTAGCTAACAAATTCAATTTTTACGCGCATCAATTTGAAGGCACACAGATTCCAAGGACCAAGGACCACCCAGCCTGAGCTCAAGATACTTCGAAGGAGAGTTTTGTGTGTGTTACCCGCACAGCTTTCGTGCCGGCAAAGGCGACTGTCTCACATAAAGAGAGAGCTCCGTAGTTGTGTGCGTGTGTGTGTGTGTGTGTGTGCGTATACGGAAAGTAAAAAACTTGAAGCTGTGCCATCCACTTGAAGCTCGGCAGACGCATGTGAGGCAAGTGTTGTGGCAAGTGTGAGTCGTCGTCAGTGCAGCCACCCTAAACGACAGCACGGACACAGTCTGTGGAGGACTTTAGCATCGACTGCTCTGCATCATCTTATGCTTCAGCACTTTGCCACACTCAGAGACGGCAGCAAAACTTGAAGCAGAAAAAGTCCAGAGTCCGCAGTCGCTGGTCTCAGCTTAATCCATTGAAACAATAAGCAGCTTTGTGCTGCTCCCACTCACTAGCTTGTCGCCGTGGCTTTGGGCTTTCTTTTGTTTGGCAACCGTGTGTAACCCAATGCGGAGATCGACAAAAAACAAGTGAGAATGAATATACCGAGCGTGCAAGACTGGCAGATACCTCGTTACAATGTATGAAGTAATCCTACAACCTTTACATAGTTGCCATATGTAGCAAGAATAAAATACAATTGGATATCGATTATTATCGATGGAAATGGAAAAAGATATTGAAAAGTATTTAATTTAAATAGTCTGGTGATCCAATAAGAGCATCTGCATAATGCAGTATTTTATTAAAATAACAATTGATATTAATCGAAAAATCGGTCACAATCGATAAATATCCATTGTAGAAAGTATTGTATGCTTTGATAATCTTCAAAAATCATGAGCAGCAAATAATGCGAAAGGTTTTCGATACTTATCGATTTAAGCCTTTTACTTCTTTGTATACCCTATTCCAAACATTTGATAGCGACAGGGTATGAAACAAAAAAGAAAACACTAACAGCACCAAAGGCAAATTTCCGTTGTTTTCAACACTGGCAACTTTTAGCCTCATGCTACGACTCTTTCTGGCTCTATCAGGGCTTTCCGTGTTTTTTTTTTCTCATTGTTGTCTCAAACGTCGCTGAAGTGCAAAGCAAATGCCAGACAATGACTGGCGCCTTTCCGGGTTGCATTTTGGTGACTGCCTCTGCCTCTGCCTCTGCCGCTGCCGCTGTCGTCGCCGCTGCAGGTTCGTGTTGCTAACCCCTAAGCAGCAGCCACTGCAGCAGCATCCCCCCTAACCTTATCGGCTTATGGCTTATGATGACAATGGCTGAATGGCTCTGAAAGCCATCCCCTGGCAGTGATAAGCAGAGCATTAGAATTGCTGCCACTGCCACAGGTTTTGACTTCTTAAGAGTCTCCAGCAGCGCCTCGCGTGCAATTCTCACTTAATGCATGTGGTAATTTTGATAAGAAATGAGCTCTAGTTCTTGTGTGCAAGTGCTGTGACATCAGTTGAATGTGCCAATGACACTAGCTGAAACAATAAATGAGAGCTCTTAAGAGTACAAGCGCGTTTAGCGTGGAAAGTGCAGAATTGTGGGTAATTAACTGAGCTTTAAGCTGCAAATTAAATTCAAATTAATTTCTCTTAAAGCTCTTGGGTTCTCTTTTTTTAGCTCTTTTATTATTGAGTGCTATTGTGACTGCTAGGTAATTGTGTGCTTTTGAAGCTTTTTAGTATGATTCTTTTTTGTTGGGTAGTTATATTACGTAATTTGATTTATTTAAGCCTTGCCATTTCCTTTTTTGCATAATTTTACTAAAGCTCTTCCAAGAGTTTCATAAGCATTAAGAAGGCTTTAAGCTTTTTTCTATTATTTCTATTTTTCTTATATATTTTCTTATTTCAGTTCAGATCAGTTGCATCAACCTAATGCAATGAAGTTTGCACAGAGTTTTTGTGTATATTTTAAAGCGGCTTCGCAAATTTCAGCTAAAGTAATAAGCTTAGCTTAAAGCTCTTGTAAGAGTTGCACAAGCAGTAAAAAAGCTTAACTAAAGCTTGTGGCCATTTACATTTCTTTAATTGTAATCAGCCATATTTTACGCAACTTCCAATTCACTGCAC